TTTTTTTTTTTTTAATTCCAAAAGTTAGTGAAAGGAGAGAAGCTGTTCTGTTCTTTAAATTCTACAAAGTGATCATCAAAGACATTAAGACTTAAAAGAAATTAGTTAAGTTGCAGTTGAGAAAAAGAAAAATCATTCTCTAGTCGAGGAGGATGAGGGAGGATGTTGTTGACGCCTTGAAAAAATGCGCGGAGGCGCTTCAATATGGGAATCCGAGACTTGCAAATGCAGAGATGGGAAGAGTTCTTTTTCTTGCTGAAGAGGAAACCGAGACTGCAACTAGAATATTGATCGAATATTTTGCACAGGCTCTCGCTTGCCGAGCCTGTGGACTTCATCCTAAATATTTTTCATTCCCATCACCTGGCTGGAAGTATTGGATGTATTACTGGCATGGCCTTTTTTTAACTGTAGGTCAGTTTATTTCAACTGTCGTCAAGGGAAAATGCAAAGTCCATGTTATTGAACTTGTCAAGCACATGGATGGTTATGAGCAATGGGAATCCATTATTTCTGAGCTTGATTACTGGGGTGACCTGACGCATTTAAGGTTAAGTTTACTTGTACAAGAAAAAGTTGAATTTTCGAAAGAAAGGGTGGAGGAACTTATTCGGAGGGCTGAATTTCGTTGCATTAAGTTGGAATATAAGATTATTGCTGTTAACAGTTTCGCTGACATTGATGTGTCTTTACTGGAGATGCGGGATGGCGAGTTTGTGGTTGTGAATTGCATGTTTGTATTCAGCAAAATGTTATCTGAGGCATTAGCTCTGGAGAAGCTGTTACAAAGGGTGAGGGATGTCATGAGAGTGGATGTTATGATTGTTGTAGAGCATGATGCTAACCACAATCAGTCTGATTTTTTATTGCGGTTTGATGAATCACTTAGATATTATTCTTCTCTATTCCAAGATTGTTGGAGCGGTCACGATCGTATGGCTGAGCCGTATTATAGATATCAAATAGGGAACATAGTGGCGTGTGAGGGTAGTAACAGGGTGGAGCGGCACCAGACGTGGGCTCAATGGAAATCCTTGCTTATTGATTCTGGATTTTCTATTTTTAACTCGTTTATTAAATGGGAAAACGACGAAAATGAAGAGTGGATGGAAGATGGTATCTTGTCGATCTTAGGTGGCAAAGCAGAGAAGCGGTCAGTAATTTTCGTTTCTGCTTGGAAAATATTAACATCTCCCGCCAAATCATCGGGCTCTAATGAAGGTTAGTATCTTCTACCGAGTTAAACTGGCCCCTTAACACTAACCAAAAATATTTATTTTTGATTCCACAAGGTTTATAGCACACATTATTCACTGCTGT